CGGCGCCAGCCCATCGGATCGCCCAACTCCTCACTCACCTTTTTTCTCCTGCCCGTTAGTCGATCCTCTCGACCACGCTAACTTCAAGTCTGATTAGAGAGCAAGTTAATCGCGCTTGCATGATTTATAGCCTTTGCATCTGCACGCGATAACCGGGATTGTATCGGGGTGGAAGGAGAAGGAAGGAAGGAAGCGCCTTCGACTGCATGGCCAGGCCGCGGTGTGGGGGACGTAGCCACTCTTCACGCATTGATCCAGTCATGCATTGTTCTGGCCAATGGGACAGATGAAAAAGAGCGCATGCAAAGGCGTGAAGAAGGAGTCAAAGAAAAACGTTTACAGTTATGCCTACGCCTGCCAAGAAGAGATTACTGTTACAGCAAGGATTAAGGCGCGGGCGGCCAAGAACGTAGAGCTAGCCTCATAAACGCGCGCGTAAGCAAGAATCATTGCGTAGTTGTAGGCGAAATTCCAGCGCGCCCAAATTCCCTTTAATCAAAATCCTAATTGCAAAAATGAAATTTCGAGAGCGCTCACAGCTCCGCACACATTCAAAATTTGAAAAAGATTTTCCTCTGCGCGCTGATCGCGCCAAAAAGTTGTCCGTACTCCCAAGAAAGAGAAAGGAACTGAAAGAAACTGTCCTCGTTCCCCTCTTTCTCGGCGCTCGCTAAGGCGCAGGCCATCTACCCGATTTCTCCTAGGATCCCTAAAAAAAGAAACGAAAAAGCAACCAAAAGCAAGGGCATTCATGCAATTTATTCCTAACCCCATTTACATGCCCCCAAGCTATTCGCGCAGGAAATAGCGCGTCTCAGAAAAGAGTTCGTCGCAACCCCTTCCCTATACAGCAAGTCTTGGCGAATCACTGTTTCCCTGGTCCATCCTTTCTGCATTTTTTTCTCCTCCAGTCCGCTTGGATTGCCCTTCTCATGTGGGTAAGAAAGAGATGGCGAAGATCCTTGTTCGTGAGCTCTGTGTGGTAAAAAACTACGGTTGCTCCTTTCTGACCAGATTACTTTCATTCCTGCAGCCCTAGCAGTTTGTGCTGCGTAGCCCCATCCGACTGACAGCTGAAGCGAATTTGGTACTCCTCCCAGGAGTACCCATTCTCTGAACCAAGGGAGTGTTGTACCTGAAATCTTGGTCCAAAAGGTGTTCCACCATTTCCATTTGTGGTAGGAGGCTGGGCAGTCCCACCACAAGTGTGGTGTGGATTCGAAGGTCCAATTGCAGCGTTTACAAGTTAGATCTGCTTGAATCCCTCTCTGAGTCAGTCAAACTGCTGAGGGTGTTGAGAGGAAGGATAGTAGGCACTGTAGTGCTACATATCTTTGGTTAGGGAGAAGTTTAAGATCCATTCAGGAGGTCGTGGGTTCAATCCCCATTGGCCTCACATACGTGCCTGGGCAAGTTTCGTGTTCTACCAACTAGAGATAACCCGTTGGCTCTCCAAGCCAGCATTGGCAGGACCTTGGCTAAATATTGTTGGTTGCTATGCAGCAATAATGTGGGGTTGAAGGGGGGTAGGGGGAGGTTCAAGTGACTGGCCAAAGATGCTCGGCACTAGAATCGCTGGTTTCCCCCGTCGGCAATGCCTGATTACCCTGCATCATCGTGATGAGGGGCTGATACAAGCCTTGCTCTCGCACCACTGCTGTGGTGCAAACCTACCCCGTGGGCTGGGGAGAGTTCCAGGTTTGGTTGGTGTTCCCCGATACTATACATAGAGTAGCGAGAGGATGAGATATAATATATACAAAAGAAGATTGAGAGAAGGAGAAAAAAAAAAAATTGCCTTCCTGATTTTCTCGGGTCGAAGTTGTAGTACTTGTGTTCACCTACCCACTGCCACCGCCAGAGGTTGGCGGGGTGGTCAGAGAATTTTGTATTCCACATGAGTTGAGTACTGTACAATCAGGAGGTTTTCACCTTTGTTGCCTCTCGCTCTCCACGTCCATAGAGCTGGGTCGAATCTCGAGGAAGCAATTGCCTGCCCTTGTGCGAAGGCCGTGTATTGTGTTGTGTCTCCCGCAGTCTCCCTCTCCAGGATTTTGACTCGTGTCAGAGGTAGGCCTAACTCTGGGTGTGTTATTTCCTCCTCTAGCTCCAGGGGGACGAGTCTCCTTGCCTCTTCCAGCATTGGAAGATTCTTTTGTTCTCCGTATGTGATACCAGTTTTCATAATTCTTCTGGCGCTTGATCTTCGACAGTGTTGTACCAGGTACCTAGTGGGTCAAGGGAGACTGGGTTCAACAGATCCCTCCAGCCCTCCGGGATAGCTGTGATAATCAACTTCCTCTTCTCATGCAGCTATTTGATTGTTCCCAGTGGAGTTCTCAACTCGCTCGAGTACCACCAGTGGAGTTCTCAACTCCTCGTTCGAGTACCAATCATTTGGAAGCGGGTTCCATAAGTCTCTTATGGTTATTACGCCTCGGCTTGACCAATCCTGGACCAGGATCGCCTGCTGGAAAAAAAAAAAAAAAAAAAGTCAAAAAAAGGTCTCACTTGGAGTGCTGGCGGTATCTGCTGGCACTTGAATTGTCTACCGCATGGGCGCGAGGAACGCAGCCCTAAGGTAGCCAAAGCAATGAGACTAAGAGTGCACACGAGAGAGAGAGAGAGAGAGAGAGAGAGAGAGAGAGAGAGAGAGAGAGAGAGAGAGAGAGAGAG